TATATATTTGTAATGTTTTTCAAATGTTGGGGCATTGTTTTAGTTTATGCCATGGGAAAATACTGAGTATTCCAGACAAGATACTAATATTATAAGGAATAAAAGTCTATTTAGGGGCTGGGGATTTAGCTCAGCAGCACAGCTCCTGCCTGGCAAGTGCAAGGTGGTGAATTCGATTCCTGGTACCAGGAAAAAAACAAACAAAAAAAAAACCAAAAAAAGTCTATTTAAAGTCATTGCAGTTAAAGGAGGTTTATGGAAAGAAACAAACATGAACAAGAAATAGAACACAATTTCGATACATGGATGGGACTGAGAAGTAGGAGGCCGAATGCCTCTCTGTCTCTACACATCTGCTCTGTCAGCCTTCTGTTTTTCCTTTCACATGAGGTTTCTTTCCATATTCACTTATATGTGATGCTGGGTTTGCTCTCAAATTTCAGATGGCCTGAAGTTCTAGTCTTTGCAATTCTCTGTTTGCCTTACTCTCTCAATGATCCAATTCCATATTCAGTCCATGTAAGAGATAGTCAAATTTTTCCATTTGGAATTAGGTATATGCCCTTGTCCACAGTATGCACTTGTGATACATTTTATTATTAACAAATAATTATTCCATATCACATAAAAAATTGATGCCTACATCACTTGTAAAAACTTGAAGTAATACTTAAAGTTCCATTTTGATAACCTCCTTTACCTACCGCCCATCAAGACCCCTACTCACTAGTCTATAGTTAAACCTGATCTTCAAAACAAACATGCACACATGATACATAGAAAATATAAAGTATGTAAATTTACTTCTCCATTTAACACATATTAACTGGATACACGGAGGACTCAACCTTGAATACAATGAGCAAAAATCCTTCTCATGGATGCTACATTCTAAGGGAGTCAGATAAACAACTATGTTGTGTGTTACTTGTGAAGATCATAAGTTCTATGTGGAAAAAAGAAATTATGAAGATAAATGAGAAATAAGTAGAGAGCTTAGAGAACAGCTCAATGTGGACATGCCTACATTACTCAGCCTTCTGTCACTGTGAGAAATTACATCATGTAAACCATTTAAAGGGGTAAGAGTTTATTCTGGCTCCTGATTTCACAATCGTCAATCAGTCCACGGTCAGCTGGCTCCATGGCTTTCAGGTTCATGGTGAGTCAGAAGCGTCGTGGCAGAAAGAGTAGAGGAAGAGAGTTCTTTATCTCAGGGCAGCCAGAAAGCACAGAGGGCAAAAGCAGACATAAGGGGCTTTCTCTTTGTGCTTTTTATTTTGCTTTCAGTTCTGGGGAAAGAACTCAGGGCTTTTTCACTGAGCTGCAGCTCAACCATTTTTCATTTATTTTATTTTGAGACAATGTCTCATTAAGTCACTAAACTGGTGGTCTTCCTGGGTTTAAACTGGTGGTCTTCCTTCCTCAGTCTTGGAGAATACTGGAATTCCAGGCACATGCCTCCACTCTCTGCTTGTCTGCTTTCGTTCCATCTGGGTACTTACTCTATGGGATGGTGTCACCCACAGTTAGGGTGACACCATCATGAGTTCATTCTCACACACATAAGTCATCTCTGACACACATATCAGACATGGCCCGCAGTTCCCGTCCTTACGTACATGTATAAGTTCAGGCTAATTTGTCTTGGAAATTATGAAGTGATCCAAACATATAAGGGTTTTCTAAGTAGAAGATGCTTCCTCTGTTGAGCTTACTTAGAGTATTAGTACAACGTTCCTGCTAAATCATTAGAAATTTTCATGTTTGATCGCTGGGCTTGTATATATTTCTATGTCCAAATGTTTATAAGATGGCAGCTTCTGTACTTAGCCTCATTTTCAGTGTTTTGGTGCTGAGAGGTTGATCCAGACCGAAGGATATAAACCCAGAGGTCTGTAGGAGACAAAGAATGAACACAAGCAAAGCAGCAAGCATTAGAAATCACTGGCATGGGGGGCTGGAGAGCACCAGAGAGGGGATGGTGTGCTCCAGTTAATTGTAGCCATGCGAGAATGCCCACCTATGGCTAACACTGACCAAGCTAGAAATTCAGATTTTAATATCTCTCTTAGCTTGGAAATGTCAACCTACTCAAAGTTTTTATTTTTTTAAAATCCTTCTATCCCCAACCCATTGCAGCCCAAAATACACATCTGCAAGCTGGATCCCAACCCTGGCCAGCAATGTGTGACTTCCATTCCAGAAGCATCAGTGGTGATGGCAATGATCTGGGCCTGCTCCTTTACGGAGACTTAAAAAAGCAACTGGTTATTAACGACCTAAATGTTCTCAGTCACAAGTTGTTCTCCCTATTTCCTGTTTTTTAACACATCTTAAATCACATTAGCCAGATATTTGGAAGTGGATGGTTATAACTAGAGTGACTGTATATCCTGGACTGGCAAGGACAGCCCTGTCTTGGGCTGGTAGCTGTTGCAACTATTAACACTGCTGTCTTTCATCCCCAACAAGTTTGGACAATAAATTAAATGGACATGTTTTTTTTTTTTTCTTTTTTTTGGTTTTTCTCCGGTACCAGGAATCGAACTCAGGACCTTGCGCTTGTCAGGCAGGCGCTTTTGCCGCTGAGCTAAATCCCCAGCCCCTAAATGGACATCTTAATGAAGTGTCACCTTTTTCCTTCCCCATTTTTCACATTTTATAAAAGCTTTCATTAGAGCCTTTAAAATAGATTATAAACAATCTGGGCAAATCGTATGGTAACCTCCACGTAGTCATTGCTTAGCATCAACAACTATCAACTAAGAGCAACTCCCTCTTCTTCCTTACACTTACTTCCTGCTCCTTTCTTGAGAAGAATTCTCTATTCCATATGATTTAATCCATAGTTTCTTCTGCTTTTAAAATCAGTGTTATCTTAGTTCAAGTGCATCATTAGACAATCACATTTTAACCTTGTTCTCTTCGACGTTAACCACCTCCTCCATCAGAGGCCGGTGCCATTTTTTCCTTAAATATG